CGTTCGGAAGGGAAGATGGTGGCACAATCAGTTCCTTATAAAACAGCACGTCGTCTATCACATTCCACAACACTCCCCCCGGTTCTGCACAGGGGTGACTGCTGTACCAAAACAAAATAAAATACAGGTGGACATCCAAAATTTCTCTTCTGCTCACGCCGTGTAACTTCAAAGTTCGTGTTCTGCCACTGAAATGGTCTTGAGTGATCTCTTCGGAGGAACGCATTTGGTGGATCTTGCTCCGCGTCATGCTGAGTACTGGCTCATACTGCTGTCCTCTACGATCTAGTCGGGAATTTAGTTTCTGGGTCAACCTCGCTTCTTGGCTGAGTGATGGCTCTGACTATTTTTCTCTGCGATCTAGTCGGAAAACGTCAGTCTTGGGTCAAGTCCCGCTTTTCGCCGAGGTCCTGCCACGCATATTGCTGTTCTCTCCAGCGAAATTCTACCCAACATGTCCTACAAACTTGCCATGAAATCCTACGTGCTTGCGTCAAGAATTCTGACTGTCCTTCAAATGCGTAATGATGTCCACGCTTTGCTGTTGTGTCGGTGGTGACGTGGTAGTCCCACAAACAAAGTTGCGCATCGATCTTTTTTCTTGTTACCGTAGTGCTTTTGCTGGGATAAAAACCCCTCATACTCTTTGCGTTGCACGATTGGCAACTATACTCTTGGAAGCATAACATCCCCTGATACGTGCTGTTGGTGGCTTGATAACCCCTCACACGTTCAGTTATCTCGTTCGTGACAACCGCACTCTCTCTTTCATCCCAACACCACACATTTCGCAGAACTCCGAACACAGGAAACGAGCCAGACACAAGCCTAAAATTTTTTCGGAACACAAAACAAGGCTATTCATCTTCGGACAGAGGACATGACCATTTCATCACGTGCCTGAGCGGGTCTGAGACCCTAGTAGCAGAAGTGGTGCTGCTGTAATGCGCTGAGCCCCCTCGGGGGCTCGCGCGATGGTCAGGGGGATGTCGTCCGCGGGCGTGGTCGATGGTTCTAGGCGCGCTCCCTGCTGCTGGCCTACCTCGTACTCTTGGCTCTCTCGCATGACTTTTATCCAACACTCTCTTGCTTTCACCTCGCAGCTGACGTCCGGACTCCTGTTGACTTCTTCTGCTTCAACCCGCGCGCTCTTGTCGACGCTGCGGGAGCTATCTTGTTCTTTGTTCCTGGCGTCCTCCGCTGCTTGGCGGACCTCCGCTGCTTGGCGGGCCTCATCTTCGCGCCTGGTAGCCATCTTGACCCTGCTCTCGATCGCCGCAAAGCGATA